CCACCCACCACACACACACTGTCTCTCTCTCTCCCTTTTCTGTGTAGCCCTCATTTCAGAGACCACCCCTCTCTTCTGTATGCCAGAAAGAGAACTAGGATGATGTAAACGATGAAATCCTGACTGAAACTCTTATTCTGGTATCTCTGCGCTATAAGGATGGAGCGCGCTTGGCACACAGATCCAGGAATGAGGCCTTTCACATACAAGAGTTCTGCAGCCACTGCTCCTCACCCCAAAGCTGCATTACAATGCAATCCCACCACTCAGTGTTGATTCTCAGGCCCAGAAGTGGCACTCCACTGTCTGCAACTGCTTCAGGAACACCACCAAGCGCTTTTAATTGTTTTTTGCTATGTCCCTCAGCAATCTGTCCTCAAAGAAATCCTCATGTCCCTGGTTGTTGTGGTACTTCCTGAGGGTCTGCAAATACAGGAGAATCATGCATCCTGTATTTGCAACTTTCATGAGAATAGTGCAGAGCTTTATGGGCTCCATGCTTGTCAGAGATGGCAAACACCAAAATGTTCCACACAGGTTTGTGGCGTATTTTAAAAAAAGATGTGAAAATTATGGTCTATAGATAGCATTATGGGATGGAGAAAATTGCACGCTGGGAATCTGACCCCCTGGATTCCAGAGATAATCTGGTGGGACTGATTGGAGTCATTGCAGCTTGTTAACCCCTCCTGGCCAGTGTGAGGTTCATATAACCCATCACACCATCTTTCCCTAGTATATTTTTAAACAGTGTTTTCTTTATGGATTAATATTCACTAATAATCATAACACAACTGAGAGACTCCCCTTTTGTAAAACAGGAAGGAGTTAACACTCTCAAGAAAGAAGCCTTGATTTTTACTTGGTAAACAGATACCTGACATTTGTCAGCATAATGACACTCACATGGGGAAAGCTTCTGACTGAACCAGACATTCAACTAGGTAGTGTGCTGCTATTATCATGAAATACAATGACATCTCTCATTCATTGCTATTGTGAAAAAGATAGGACCAGAATGATTTAAGATGGATATTAGCCTCATTAGTTCAGTAGATCTTTTAAACTACCTTAATGTATTAAAAAAGACTTAGAATTAATTTCTCCTTAGTTATTTGTATTTGTTAAATGTAAGGATTCTTCTACAAGTCACATACAAAAGAGCATGAATAATGCAGAGGTAAGATTACAGCATGAATTACTGAAGGAGAAGGATTGTATTGAATCTAAACATAGGTATGCTGGTATAGTTTCCATAGTGTAGACATACCGTTAGAATTGTCTAAAGCCATGTCTCCACTACAGACTTTGATTGATGCAAATTATGTCAGCATACACCCGACAAAGTTTGTAGGGGTGTGTGTGTGAAGTGTGGTTGGTGTTCGGAATTAATTGAAGATTATGATCTGCTAGAGCCTTCCTATGGAAGGGTGTGTCTAACACAAACTGTAAATTAGATTGGTCATCAGGAACCTGTTGATGTAGTTTGCTTTAGGTGGGGTTCATCTGAAAGAAAGGGGGCTGAAAAGTGAGCCTAGCAGGGCTAAGGATTATTTGGGTTTCTGTTGGACTTTGACTATGCTATCTCAGAAGCGGTTGAACTCTCTTGATGATTGTGCCAGAGGGCTAAACCACAGGGCCTATTCCAGTGCTATATTTTTCCATGAGATCGACTATGAATAGTGTTGTAGATAAAGCATAAGAGTAGGAATAAACAGAACTAGGTTTGGTCTTAATCTCTGTATGATCTTGGACAAGTCATTTAGTTTCTGACTCAGTTTCCCCAAGTGTAAAATAGGAGTAAGAATACCTACCTTACAGGAAGATTGTGAGAATTAATTCATTTGTGGAAATTGCATTGAGAGCGCCAGACTGAAGGTGGTCAAGCAAAAATATGATAAGTTGAGCAGTAGAAAAACGCCATGCTAGCTTCTGGGGAAGTCCAAAAGTAGGTAGACAAAATTTAAATGTTTTAATGGTGTTTACATACAGCCGTGAGCTAGATATGCTGAGATGACACAAAACAAGGTAATTAGAACATCTGCCTGCCTTGAGGATTCTCCACTGAAGCTGAAATATCATGTTTCAAAAACATGAGGCAGCATGTTCCTTTAAAAAAAGATACGATTATTTTAGTGCTAGTGAAAGGTGCTGGCTTGACTGCCCTGGAGGTTTGTGTTTATATGTAGAGCAGCTACAGTCTGAGCAGCATCAATTCTATTTTTTCCCCATGTTACTTTGCTGCTGTCCTTCTAATCTGAGTTGAAGGGACTGGTGCCCAGTGGGCTTGGAAGGGTGCTTAGTCTCTGGTCTCTGCTGATAAGACTGATAACAAGGCACCAACCCTGGTGGTGAGTTTTTGCCCTCCCAAATCATATCACATATGCAAGATACTAATTTGATTCTTGGGTCATACTTGATCTATGATGCTTCTTGTGGGCTAGGAGGCAGAGGTGTTAATGTACCACTGAAGGATGTGCCTTACATTTGTCTTAGAAGACAGGTAAACAGTCTAATTCCTTCAACTTCATTCCTTATGGGACATGGAACCAGATCATTATTCTTCCCTTTTTATTAATGTATGCAAATGTCATCATGGGCTCCTTGTATCAGCTTTCAGTCATGAAGCAGGAGGTCTGGGGATCAGGCGTTCCCTGGGACAGGAAAGCGATGCATTGGACACTACCTCTGGCATGTAGGTTTGAGGACCAGGCAAGGTCACTACTGCAGAAGAATTGGGGTTTTGGATGCTATCCTTGGTTAGGATGGCTGAGCTTAGTAACTGCTACATTTCCTTTGTTAGACACTGAATTTCACAGGCACTTATGCATTTATTATCATCCCTACAAAGGCCCTCAGGATTTTGGAGGCTTCACCTGAAAGACTTCTCCATGGTAAACTGCTCCTTTTCCCTTCCATAGAAGGAAGGCTAAGTAGACCTTGTGTATTTCACACAGCAGGTTGCTCTTTGTGAGATTGTAAAACAGGATTGATGCTGCAGAGCGATGGCAGTGGTATATCTGCAAGGTGAAGTCTTGAGCTCTGCTGGCTTGGTCTCTAACGCACGTGGCTGCCCCTTAACCGTGCAGAAGATAATCAGTGTGGGGTGCTGCATTATTATGGGCACTGTTGTGGGACCTCAGTATTAACTATTTTTTCCCCTTTCTGGGAGGGTGGAATTATTTCTGGAGAGGTGGGGGTGGGTGGCTGGGGTTATATTATGTCACTTCTCCTATGAGTCCCCCACCCCCTGGCATTATTCCCAATCCCTTCATCTCACCTCTGGGTTGGGATTTATACTCTGATACTCCCCCAGAATCAGGGGTTATTCCCTGCTTCCAGCTACAGGGGGAGCATCTCTCAGCCCCCTATGGGGGTGGGGTTATGTATTGCCCCGCCCCTTCGAGGGCGTGGTTACATCGACCCTGCCCCACGCCGAGTAGTAGTATTCATCGCTTTATTGTGTGGGCGTAGCCTCTCCTGGAGCCGCCCCTCTCTGGGGGAGGAGCCCCTCCAGGTCCCTCCCCGTGCTGGGCGGGAGCCCTTCTCGGTTCCCCTTGTGTGGGCGGAGCTTCCCGTTGCTGGGGGTGGGGCCGGCGTGGCCCCGCCCCGGAAGGACGCGCCGGGGCGGGCGCTGGCGGCGCTAGGTGGGGGGTAGGCGGCGGTGGCGGTTCGCGGGTGCCGGTAACCGGGGAGTGCGGGGCCCCGGCCGGCGGGGCCGGGCCATGGGGAAGGAGCAGGAGCTGCTGGAGGCCGCCCGTACCGGCAACCTGCCCGCCGTGGAGAAGCTGCTCTCGGGCAAGCGCCTCAGCTCGGGCTTCGGCTCGGGGGGCGGCAGCAGCGGCGGCTCGGGGGGCGGCGGCGGCGGGGGGCACCCGCTCTCCAGCCTGCTCAGGTGGGTCCCGCTCCGGAGGGCAGCGCCCGCCTCAGCCCCCTCCACGGGCGGGGGGGGAAACGGTTGGGGGCGGGGTCCCAGAGGGCGGCGGTTCGGGGGGTAGGGGTCTGCGCGGGCGGCGGGGCTGGGCGGGGGCTCGCGAGGCAGGCTGCTGGGCCACTCCAGGCGGTTGAATGCCTGGTGGGGGGAGGGGTGCTGGAGCCGAGTCCGGGGGTCTGTGTGGGGTGGTTGCTAGGGTACCCGTGGGGGACTGGGAGTACCCGTGGGCGGGTAGGAGTTCACCCCTTGGAGCGGGTGAGGTTGGTTCGCAGGGTGCTTGGGGCAGAGTGGGGGCCATTGCAGGTGGGCTGGGAAATCGGGGGTTGGGGATGCTTAAGGAAATTTCCTCTCTGTCTCTGATTGTCCCCTGACTCCCCAGCCGGGCTGGGCATACCTTCTCCCCGCTGTAATTTCTGTGGTTTTTAGTCATGTTGCTGTTTAAACACTTGTATTACATTAGTTCCCAGTTAGGACTGAGGATCAGTTATGCTGGGGGCCATGGTCCTTTGCCCTGGCTCTGAATGGTCTGTGATGTGTAATTTACCTTGCTTTGTGGCTTTTCAGCTCTTTGTGTAGCTGCTTTTCTTCTCCTTCCTTTCGTGTAAGCAACTCACAAATGGCCATTGCATTTCTCAGGGTGCAGCTCTTTGCAGTTTTCCTTCCATGCGGTTCCAGTCCCGCTGTTGGAAAATGCTGCGGATCCTGTTCCCTGCTATCCTTTCCCTCTGGCTGTTTGAGCTGGAGGAGGATGGCCTGAGAGTTCAGGGCTAGGTTTGCTTGCGTGTCACTTGGTGGCATCCTTCTGAGGTAGGGAGGATCTTTCTTCAATATCTGTGGCTAAATTTGATCTGTCTTCCCCTCTACAGTGGCAAATAGACTTGCAGGGCAGGGATGGAATCTTAAGAGGTCAAGTCTAGCTTCATGGGCTCAGGCAGGACCAAGTCAACTTAGACCACCCCTGGCAGGTGTTTGTCCAACCTGTTCTTAGAAATCTCCAAAATGATGGGGGTTCTGGAATCTCCCTTGGGAAACTATTCCAGAGTTTAACTATCCTAATAGTTTTTTCCTAATATTGAACATAAATCTCTCTTGCTGCAGATTAAGCCCATTACGCCTTGTCCTACCTTCAGTGGAGAAAGAGAACAACTGATGCCCATTCTTTTTATAACAGCCTTTAATGTATTTTGAAGACTGTTATCAGGTCTTCCCCTTGGTCTTCTTTTCTCAAGACTAAACATGCCCATTTTTTAAACTGTTCCTCATAGGTCAGGTTGTCTAAACCTTTTATCATTTTTGTTGCTCTCCTCTGGACACACTCTAATTTAGCCACCTCTTTCCTAAATTGTGGTGCCCAAAATTGGAGGCAGTACTCCAGCTGGAGCTTCACAGATGCTGAGAAGAGCGGGACAATTCGCTCCTATCTGACTTACAACTTTCCTGTTAATACACCTCAGGATGATATTAGCCTTTTCCACAGCTGCTTCATATTGAGTTGTATTCAATTTGTGATCCACTGTAACCCCCAGGTTGGTTTCAGCAGTACTACCACTTAGCCAGTCATTCCCCATTTTGTAGGTTTGCATTTGCCTTTTCCTTCCTAAGTGAAGTGCTTTGTGCTTGTCTTTATAGAATTTCATCTTGTTGATTTCAGAAAAATTCTCTAATTTATCAAGGTAATTTTGAATTCTAATTCTCTTCTCTAAAGAGCTTGTAACCCCTCCCACTATCATGTCATCTGCAGGTTTTATAAGCATGCTCTTCACTCTGTTATCCAAGTTATTAATGAAAATATTGAATAGTACTAGATCAAGAACTGGCCTCTATGGGACGTGGCATTGGTCACTGTCGGAAGACAGGATACTGGGCTAGATGGACCTTTGGTCTGACCCAATACGGCCATTCTTGTGACTTCACTAGATATGTCCTCCCAGTTGGACAGCAAACCGCTGATGACTACTCTTTGAGTATGGTCTTTCAACCAGTTGTAACCTTGTTGAAGTTACTATAAGGTGAGTGCACATTTCCCTAGTTTGCTTATGAGAATGTCACATGGGACTGTGTCAAAACCCTTGATAAAATCAAGGTATTTCATGTGAACTGCTCTCTCTTCCTCCCCTCCCGTCCCGACCCCCCAACCCCAAAAAAAAAAAGAAAACAAAACCCTAGGCCAGCAACCCTTGTCCAAGAACGAAGTTAGTTTGGTTTGGCATGATTTGTTCTTGACAAATCCATGCTGACTATTCCTTGTAACCCTATTGTCCTTAAAGTGCTTACAGATTGCTTGTTTAATAACTTGTTCCAATATCTTTACAAGTATTGACGTTAGGATGACAGGTCTATAATTCCCTGGGTTCTCTTTGTTCCCCTTTTTAAAGATAAGTACTGTTTGCCGTTCTCCAGCCCTCTGGGACCTCATCTGTCCTCCATGAGTTCTCAAAGATAATTGCTTATGGTTCCGAGATTGCTTCAGCTAGTTCCTTAAGAACCTTAGGATGAATTTAATCAGGCCCTGCTGACTTGAATACCTCTAACTTGCCTAAATATTCTTTAACCTGTTCTTTCCCTGTTTTGCCTTACGGATAATTGTTAGGGGTAACGCCATGTCAAGGTACCCATTGAGATGAACGGCAGGGAGTCAGTGAGATGAGTTGATGAAAAGCAAAGGACGTTTGTTTGCCTGCTGTAAATATTTCTGATTTCTCCCCACAAAGTGTAAATGTTGTATGTTTGCTTGGGTCAAACTTTAATATACAAAACAGAGAGAGAAAAGAATTGACATTTGCTGCTTCTGTTCTGGGTCAGAAAGCATTCAAACACTTTGGACCTGTCTATGTTAGGAGATAGATGTGTTTGAAAATATGTGCACCTCAGTTAAATGCATACCACAAAAGTATCATCAATCCCTTGTTCTAGCTGCAGCAGCTTGATCACACGTCTTTTCAACATGTGATGGTTATGATGACCCTTTCTATGTCAGTAGGATGATGGCTTGCGTTATACAGGACAGGGAGGCAGTGTTTGACATCTGATGTGCTAGCTTGCTGTGTATGTGCAGTCTCAGATACTCAGACATGTGCATGTTTGAGCATGAATGGTGACAACTAAAAAGTGTCAAACTGCTGTTGAGCAAGCTGTTTGCTCCCACGTATTCAGGAGCTCTCTAAAAATGACCATGCTAACAGAAAAATTATTATAGACTCCCTTTTCCTCTTCACAACTTTCCCAAGTCCCTAGAAGGCCAACTTCTAGCCAGGCTTTTGAATGTGTTTGTGACACAAGCCCCAATCCTGCAAACACTTAAACATGCGAGTAGTCCCATTGAATTTAGTGGAAGAATTCATGTTCATGTTACTTGCTTGCAGGAATGACTTGTGACTTGTAGGCACACATCCATGTTGGAAGTCTGTGGGGTACATGGTCCCAAACCGTAATGTGGATTAGGCTTTTATATCCATTTGCACGCTGCACCTGGAGGTAGTTCAGCAACTCAGGTTCTGCTCTTTGTCCTGTATGCTGGAAGCTGAATTTAAATTGAAATATGAGATTGGGGATTGACAGTAGCTTAGAAATTTCCTTGGTCACTTCTAGTATCCTGTTAATTTACCTTTTTGAATTTTTACTTTGGATCAGATGGATCCAAGCAGGAAACTTTTGTGTGCTAATTTTATGGTTACACAATGTCCTTATGAACAGCAGTTACTAAATTTACCTGCAATAGGAGGCATGGGAATTGTTCAGGGTGGAGTTGGGATAAGTTGGGCAAATATCCAATATAGATTTGATTCTGCAAAATGAACTTAGTTTGTGACTTGAGGGGCTCACTTGGTTTTATGTGTGACACTTCCTTTTCATATCCTGGGACTGACATGACTACAGCAAAACTGCTTGAGGTTTTCAAAAAATTGATAGTGATAGAGGAGCTCTGACCTGTGGAGTTTTGTCATCTTCATAGCAGTAGGCACACTCCATCTTTCATTGCTGCTGCATAAAGGGGACTGAATGGGATCCCTAGCATTACAGGTGGGATTGATTTTTTTTTCTTCAAATAGCAAGACTGAGTGGCCAAGTGGCCTCAGAGTATCAGAGGGTTTGGGTGCAGTCTTCCCTGTGTTTGTGTCTCTGTCTGTGTCATCCTCTTTCTGTTGTGGTCTGTTTTCACTCTAGCCTATGAAATTAACTTGTGTCCCTGCCGCTAAGACCTGAATGACTGCTGACTTGTTCATTCCTCTCAACGTTTGTAATCCTTCAGGAGCATCCCCATGAAGTGCAGTCTGTGACTTCTCTCTGTTTCCTGCGGGCAGGGAGGTTGTTTAATAAGTGCTCTACACCAGCCATGTTCTCAATTACATTTCACTCTACTGTGGCTTGCGGTGCTCCCATTAAAACAACTACAAGGGTGTGAAAAATAGCAACACAAAACAAAATGTAAATGTCAGCCTTGCCCTTGATATAAAGCTGAAGGAGCAGATGAAAAGGCAATAGGAGGGGAAGGGGGCAGATGAGTGGGGGTGGCAGGAGATCGCTTGGGCAGTGAAAAATATTGTATTAATTCTAGGGAAGGCTATAGGGTAAATCACAAAGTAACAGGCATACCTCCAGCTCATATTTGTTTTAATCCAGAAAATATATCCCAGTACAACAAACTCGGGGCACCATGAGAAAACATCAAAGAACGGCTCCTTCAACTGTAAATGTAAATATAAGAAAAAAAGTATACACGGTTATTCTCGAACTGATTGTCAGACACCTGTTACTTAGTGATTTACCCTGTAGGGTACCCTGTAGGGTAAATCACTAAGTAACAGGTGTCTGACAATCAGTTTGAGAATAACTGTGTATACTTTTTTCTTATATTTACATTTACAGTTGAAGGAGCCGTTCTTTGATGTTTTCTCATGGTGTACTGAGATATATTTTCTGGATTAAAACAAATATGAGCTGGAGGTATGCCCAGAGGGGAA